CATGTATTGGTAATATATACCACACATAATCGTACCAGTTCTAATATCCAGAGTTCGCCTATAAATTAATAAGAAAAAAGCCAAATGACACAACAAATCATAGGCAGAGGACATAAACAAGTAATTTCCAACAGAAGAAATACAAATAACTAATAAACCTATGAAAAGATGTTTAACTTTGCTAGTTATTAAGAGAAATAATTTAAAGGAGATTGGATTTTCCATCCAGAATATTGACCCACAATTAAGAAGAATAATTGTGTTCCTCAGGCCAGGAGGATAATTAGCTCAAAAGCATTGATATAGAAGTTGTATTTTTAAGGTTCTAGCTTTAAAAATCCTTGTAATCATGTAAAATAGATTTATTAATAAAAGTGTTTCTTATAGCATTATACATAATAGCAACAAACTGTTAGTAACTTACATATCTATCATGTGGAAAGAACTGAATACTACAGTACACCCTACTCTGGCATTCTCCATAGCTGTTTGACTTTCTTTTGAGCAGGGAAAAAGCAACACAGAGAATAATATATATGGGATGATTTCATTCTGTAAAATACAGAAGAATACACCCACATAAACAGAAGACGTATTAGAAAGAAACAAATAAATAAATAATCATGGTATCTCTGGGCAGTAGGTTCAGGCGAGGGATAATTTCACCTTTTACTTCATATACTACTGCCTTTTTAGCATTTTACAGTATGTATTCCTTTTGTAAGAAAAATAATATAAGTTCACCCTGTAACATTTGATTTTAAATATATATATTAATATATGGAAACAAAAAAAAGAATTTAAAATGTCCCTATGCAGAAGCAATCATTAACATGTCAACATTTTCCTTTTCAGTCCCTAGTATGTCTTTTAAACATATTTTTAGACCTTTATGTAATTTGGAGCTTTTTTCAATAAATTTATTGCATTTTCTTATATCATTAAAAACACATCAACATAAATCTTAAATTAATATTTTTTATGTTCAAATTTAGAGAAGAACAAAAAGAGAATGAAATCCCATGTGTGCCCACCAACCAGAGGTAATTTCTTAAAAATATAATGAAAATCAAGTGCACAAAATTGGATTGATTACAATGTACACTGTCTCATTAATTCGTGCATGGCACTCTATCATTTTTTTATGTTTTAACTTTTCTTCTATGTAATTTTATTAAAAATCATTAAATTATTAAATAATCAAAATAGGATTTTAATTACATAATGACATCCATCATCCCAGCAGTAGAATATTGACAACTGAAATTCATTTATGTAACCTTCTCCTATTCTGACCCCCTTTCCTCAATCCCAATAACCATTATCTGAAATTTTGTTTCATTTTCCATTTATTTTTAGGAATTTATTTTATATATGTGTATCAGGCAAATGATAGTTTACAATCTCCAGTGTGTTTACTTGTAATTGTTTGATTTTGATTCTAATTATATATTTTTAAATAGTTGTAATCACACTTTATATAACTTTGCTGATTTTTACTTAACATTGTAAATATTATAGTGCTTAGTTTTACTTGGCTTTGAATAATATAAAAAAAGATATCCTATTATTAGTAGTATTTGGGGCTTTATATATTAACTTTCAAGAAGTAAAATCTATTCATATTATTATAGGTAGTAGAGTAGTCATAGCTATATAATATTTCATTGTGTAAATACACCATGATTCATCCATTTTCCTTTTGGGACTTTTACTACTAACATTTAATATATATCTTTGGCTATTCTTTGAGGACATTTACATGGTTTCCCTATAAAATATGAATATTACATATGTTTTCATGTGACATATTCCTCTCACTGATGATACGTTGTCAACATATTCCCATTTCTATAAGTACAGTATTTAATATTCTTCTATGAAATAAATTTAAATGGCTGCACAGTATCCACATATAGTTACAATATAACTTTTTAACCACTCCTAATTGTTCAAGATCTGGATTGCTTATATTTTCTTTTGCTGTGATAAGCATTATGATGTACGTGGCCTTTGGCTCAGCAACTCTCCTTTTAGAAATTTGCCATAAATAATAACTGAACAAATCTGCACACAAGTATGTCCAGAGCCACCAGGTAGGACAACACAGTCTTCTGCTCATCAAAGAAGATTTTATAATACAAAAAAATAAGAAGGAACATAATGCCTACTCCAATAGGAGATGGAATAAATAAATTCTATATTAAAATTGAAATATAGATGTAGGTATTGACATGGAAAATTGCTCACACTTTGTTGTTAAGTGAAATAAATAGGTTAAATGGCAGTATGATTCTACTTTGTAGAAGAAAATTAAGATATCTGTGAAAGAGTCTGGAAGAAAATCCATTGAACACTTCACAGTGATTATTTCTGGGTACTAAGATTATTTGAGAACTTATTTTTTTCCACATTTCTTACTTATATTTGGAAATATTTTCAAGTAAAACTTCATTACATGTACAATAAAATAGATAACTAAATAATGAATTTTGTGAACAATTGTTTAACTATTATTCCTGAATAGAAAATACCTTCAGATGGCAAAAACTTTGGAAAACCAAAATGAGTATGTAGAAGAAAACGAAATCACACATAATCCTATCCATGCAGGAATAGTTAGTTTACCATATCCAGTATGTTCATCTGTAGTGATTTGACTCTGATTATATATCTAAGAACAGTTGTAATCACACTTTATGTAGTTTTGTAAGCTGATTTTTATTTAACATTATAAAATGAGCATACCATAAATATTTTAATAGAATATTCCATCATAGGTACATAGCACATTTACTTATTCATTTCCTTAATGTTAGACTCTTAGGTTTCCTGTTTTTCTGTATATCAAATAATGTATAATTATATAAAGAACATCTTTGTGCATGAATTATCCACATCATAGATAATTTCCTTGGATAGATTCCTTGAGGTAGAAAGTAGTAAGTCAAAGAGTGCCTGTTTATATCCCTTGATATATAATGTCAAATAGTACTTAATATATATTTTAAGGCAGAAAGTAGTGGTAGGAAAAAAAGAGGTCACACCTGGATCCCATGTCCATCTTTAGTACTCTGATTAGTAAAACTGATATCAAAACATCTGTCTTATCTACATCACCAGGTTATAGTATAATAACCAAACAAGAATCTTTATAAATGTTACTTCCTCAGAAATGCTTTCCTTGACTTTTGAGACTTTCACAGCATCCTATATTTACTTTTTTGTCATGATCTTATCACAATTGATAAATAATTTTTCAGTTATTTATACATTGTCTGTTTCCCCAAGATGATTTTAAGCTCCATTAAAACATGCCTGGCACACAGTTGGTGCTCAATAAATATCTGTTGAATGATGAATGAATGAGGTGATAGCACTTTGTAAAAAGTTTAATGAACTTTTAATGTTCATTAAATATTCAGAAGGTATTGCAATTTTAACTATTGTTATTGTTCCTTTTATTACCATGTAAGTTACTCTAAATCTTAAGAGATTCCTTGCCTAACTATAATTTCATTATGTGGCTTCCATTTTTTTTTCACTCCAGCTGGAGGCATGGGTAGAAATGTTGCCTTAAGTGCATGGTGGGAGCTGAGATTTGGGAGAACCAAGTAGTTAGTTCTCTAGGTCAGCATGCTGGAATTTAGGAGTTGTAATTACCATTACTCAGATACAAGGCAGTGAGTTAGGAACCCTGGGGGTCATATTTGAAGATGCAGGTAGATCCTAGAGGTCAAAAACAAACTAATGGTAAGTGGTCTGGATAATAAGGTGTAAACTGGAAAGTGGCCAGTGATAAGGGATTAAAACAGATAGAAAAGTTAAATTCCAGGCACTAGTACTCAAATCATGGAGCTATGAACACAATTCTAAAGCAAAGACCTTGTGAACTTAGTGCTCCCTTATATTCTTCCTACCAAAACTGAAAATAGTATCAGTAACTGTTTATAGCTACTTTCATATACATGAGCAAAGAAATGATAGTAACTGGTTGAGGAATAAAAGCTGTGATTACAAATGTGTTCTGATAGTGACAGGATAAAGTGAGACCATTTGTATATAAGATACTATAGTATTCTACACATATTATAGGTACACTTAAGCCGTGGATCCCATAAATCTCATCTTGATTTTTAACAACAAATATTAAAGCATAGTGGTTAGGATCATGGACTTTGCATATAGACTAGCTGGGTTTAAATGTCAGCTCTATTATTGAGTATTTGTGTCCTTTAGAGATGTTATTTCACCTCTGCGTGCCAGTTTCCTCATCTGTAAAACGGGGATATTGATTGCACCTACTTCAATGAGTTATTGTGAAGAATAAATGAGTTAATGCATGTAAGGATCTTAGAACAGTGCCTGGATGTGCAAATGCTATGTATTATTATTATTAATTAGTCACATAAGATGAAATGAACAAAAATTAATATTATGAAAAACTGGACAACTTATACAATTGTATGTTAACTTTATCTAACAGTCTTAATCAGAATTTTTCTCATTTAGTAAAAATTTTGCCTTGCACTTAAACAGTTGACTGTATAAAAACTCTAAGCACTATAGTAAAGTCGTAAAATATGTTCCATCAATCCCATCTATTTATTCTGTAGAAGTTTTATGAACACTATCTTAAAAAGTTATAGAGATTAATTAAATACACACTTCCAAACAGAAAAAAACACAAACCGTAGTACAGTTTGTTCGTAAGATCTGGTCTATAATGACCTACTAATTTTTCAAAGCAAATTATGCTAGAAACAGAAATATTTGAATTGGAAGATCTGTCTGTGGAAAGATCTGAACATGGGAAGGTTTAGACAAAGGGACACTAGATTTGAAAAAGCCTGGACCTGGAGAAAGTTTGAAAGACTTAGACTATAAAACATGCTAGAATACCTGGATATTGCAGACACTGGAAGACCTGAATGCTAGATCAGCACTCTGGAGACGGTGGAAGACATGGATGTTGAGCCCACTGATGGAAGACTGAGTAGCTGTTGGAAGACTTGAAGATGTTGGAAGACGTGAAGATACTGGAAGATGCAGAGATGCTGGAAGACATGATGATGCTGGAAGACGTAGAGATGCTGGAAGACGAGCAGATGCTGGAAGCCCTGGAGATGCTGGAAGACCTGGAGGTGTAGGAAGACATGGATTTTTGGAAGACGTGGCTTAGTTGGAAGACGTGGATTTTCTGGAAGACACAGTCTTGCTGGAAGACGTGGATTTTCTGGAAGACAAAGCTTTGTTGGAAGACGTACCTTTGTTGGAAGACATAGGTAAGCTGGAAGACATGACTTTGCTGGAAGACGTGGATTTTCTGGAAGACATGGATTTCCTGGAAGACGTGGATTTTCTGGAAGCTGTGGATTTGATGGAAGACGTAGATTTTCTGGAAGAAGCAGATAGGCTGGAAGACCTGGAGATCATTGGAAGACGTAGACTTTCTGGAAGACTTGGCCTTTTGGAAGACACGGATTTTCAGGAAGACCCGAATTGTCCGGAAGACCTGGATTGTTTGGAAGACGGTGGATTTTCTGGAAGACTAGGAAGTTACTGGAAGACATGGGTTTTCTGGAAGACATGGATCTTCAGGAAGACCTATTGGCTGGAAGACCTGGACGTTTTTGGAAGACATGAATTTTCTGGAAGACATTGGTTTATTGGAAGACATGGATTGACTGGAAGACTTTATTTGGTGGAAGACATAGATTGCCTGGAAGACCAAGATTTCTTTGGAAGATCTGGATCTGGTGGAAGACATAGATTTTTCTGGAAGACCTGGATTTCTTTCTGGAAGACACTGACTGGAAGACCTGGATTTCTTTCTGGAAGACGTTGATTAACTGGAAGACATGGATTTTTTTCTGGAAGAACTGGATTTATCGGAAGACTTGGATTTGGTGGAAGACATAGATTTTTCCAGAAGACATGGATTAGCTGGAAGATCTGGATTTGATGGAAGACATGAATTTTCTGGAAGACATGGATTTTCCTGGAAGATCTGGATTTTGTGGAAGACCAATAATTGTTGGAAGACTGGACTTACTGGAAGACTTGGAGGTTCTTGGAAGACATGGATTGTCCGGAAGACATGGATTGTCTGGAAGATGTGGATTTTCTGGAAGACCAGGATTGTCTGGAAGACATTGAGGTTGTTGGAAGACTTGGAGGTTCTGGAAGACCTGGAGTTGTTGGAAGACTTTGACACTGGCGCCATTGGAAACCCTGGATATTGGAAACATTGTAAGCACAGGACGTTGGAGACATTGGAAGCCTTTATTTCAGAGACATGGGTTACTCATGCCAACAGACACTTCGGCGGCCTTATACATTGAAATATTGGATATTGGAAGCCATAGACACTGGAAACTCTGTACATTTGCAATTCCTGTGCCTTGAAACTCCTAAATACTGAAAGATATAGACAACAGAGGATAGGGACATTTAGAAATCTTAAAATCAAAAGCCCTGGATATTGGAAGATATTGGAAAATAGTACTTAAAACAGCCCTGGATATTGGAAAAGATACTTAGGTCAAAGGACAGAATTTGGAAGGATTAAATCTCCAATGATGCTTAAGTCAAGGATGCTGGTGGCCTTGGATACTAGGAGGCCTGAGATTAAAGAGCTGGATGGTAAGAGATCTAGTCATTAATACATTGCTGATATTGAAATACCTTAAGATGGAAGACTTGGTTCTTGGGAGATATTGAAATACTTGGGCATTAGAGGAACTGGCAATAAAAAATGTAAAATTAGATTTAGGAGACATTAAAATATATGGGAATGGAATGATATAAGTGCTAGCAAATATTGGAAAAGCTACACTTAAATACTATAAAATACATGGACTCCAGAAGACCTGTACAGAGGAAACATTGAAGGATTAGAACCTTAGAAGACTTGGAAGTTAAAACTCTAGATCTCAAAAGGCAAGATCTGGACCTTAAAGATTATGTGAGTTACTGGATGACCTCACCTTTTAATGACCCTAATATTGGAGAGATTAGAAAACATAGGCATTGGAGATGCTGCAGGCCAGATAATGGAAAGCAGGAATATTATATATTTAAAATATTTGGTAATGAAAGACCTTGGAAGCTGTGGGGCTTAGAAAACCTGAGTTAGAGACACTGAAGAATGGAAAGGCCTAATCTTAAAGGTATTGGAAAGTCATTGGCAATATTAAAAGATACATATTATATCCTAGATGCCACATTAAAAAACAGCACGGGATTACTCTTATGGTCTTTAAGACTATTACCTCTCTTTTACTAAAAATCAAAACACAGGTAATGGGAATCTTAGGAAGATGACAAACAGGAGGCAAGGAAGTTCAAAGGAAAGAAAATTGAATGGGCTGGAACCTATCTTCATAGCCTAAATGAACTGAGCTTCTGGGCCTCACTAGATGGACAGGATAGTAATGAAAAGCATCAAACAATAACCAGTATGCAGGTTAGGAGAACTACTTGGGTTATAGATCAAAGGTCAGTAAATATTTTTTTAATGAAGAGTCAGATAAATATTTATAGCTTTGCAGGCCATGTGATATCTCTTGTACTATGCAACTCTGCCATTGTTTTGCAGCCATAAACAATAAGTAAATGAGTAAGAATGGTTGTACTGTGATAAAACTCTATTAAAAAAAAAAGTTGGGCTGGATTCGGCCCAAAGGGTTCAGTTTACCAAGCCTGGTTCCAGATGCCAACATCCAGAGTATGATAAACTTAAGTGCATTCCAGACTAGAATTTACATACAGAGAGGAGATAGAGCAATTTTAAGCTCAATAGTAAATAATGATACCATGTAATGTGATGATACTCAGGAGATGAGACTAGCAAGAACCTAAGAATGAAGTTTAAATCTCTAGGCAATTTGGGGTGGGGGGGCAGGTGTTCAAAGAATGAGCCTTATATTCAGAGCCATAATTAAATGGGTTGGATTTGGGGCCTTAACTAAAGGGCCTGGGGATCAGTGACAATGTCCTAATTTAATAGGCTGGAGGCTTAAGAAGAAAACTAAAGAAGAAATCCCTCCTAGAGATCACGTATATATGGAAAGAAACAGGAAAGATATAGCTTAGTGGGTTCATCTCAGGAGACCTGACTATAGGTAATAAAAGTAACTTCTGATCTTAACCACCAGAGCTTAAGTAACAAGCTTAAAGGATCAGAATTGAGCTGTGGGCTAAAGGCCTTTGGTATTTAGACAAGGCTGAGGAAGATAAGGACTATCACAGGTATTATATGAAAAAGAAGATTGGTAAAAAGAAGCGGTAAGGCACACTGGGACTAGACAATGATTTCAAGATCAAGATCAACTAGTGGAATAATATAGATAATGGAAGTATCAGAATCAGAACTGTACACAAGTAAAGTTAGTCAAGCAGCAGGCTGCTGAATAACAAAGTCTACTAGATAATGTATCCTAGAACACCAAATACTCTGAGTTAAAACACTTGAAGTGTTGGAATGTGATGCTAATATAGTCATATAGGTAAGTGACACTGGGGCTAGAGTTAATGCAGTAAATAATTCTGTCAACTCAGCAGTCACAGCATCAAAGTTATGATGAATACTCAATATTCAAAATATTACTATTTTAAAGTTCTTGAATGCCATCACAGAATACATGAAATACAAAGTTTAGAAGCCAGTTATAAGGAGTCATCCTAGTCTAGTAAGATTACTTCAATTTACACAATTTTGCTTAAAGGGAGCTGAGCTAATAACTTGGTGGTGAAGCAAATCAGATCCTGTATAGCTTTATCTTTACCCCTATAACAAAGTTACATAATCATCTTTAAAGTGGAACCAAGTGGATGGAATATTTTCTAAAGAATAGGAACAAATCCGTGTCAAAAAGTCTTGATCTCTAATCACTATGTAAATAATCATGCAATAATAACCACATAAATGATATCATGTATCCATAATAATTTTTAAATTTATTCTTAATTCTTATAAAAAAAGAATAACTGAAGGTCATGGAGTGACTTAGGGACAAGGAAATTATTGTTTCAAGTATCCCTCAGCAAACAAAAAAAATTAAACTCAGTTTTTTATTACTTTTCGTAAGACCATCATGCATACCTTATTTTGAAGGAAATAAAATATAAAAAGTTTGCAAAGGTAAGAGTAAAACTACCATATTCTAATTATATAATTCTTATTCATGTCATAATAATAATAGCAACAATTTATTGAGCACTTCTTCTGTGCCAGGCACTGTACTAAGCATTTTATAGAATCTCCTAACAATCCTTTAATGCAGGTATTTTTTTACCCCGTTTTACAGATTACAAACTGAACTTTGGAATGGTTAAGAAATATGCCCACACTCACAAAACTGACAACTGGCAGGGGAAGGATTTGAATGCAGGTCTGTCAGATTCTAATGCCCTATGCTCCATGATGATTCCTCACAACCTAATAACCCAAGAATTATACTGCAAAGGTTAAGCTCCACTCATCCAAAGAGAGGGAGTCCCCAGCCCATAGCAGAAGTCAGTAGCAAAACCCCTACTCTAATCCCATGTTCTTCTCATTATGACACTCGTAGTTAAGACCCAACTCTAGGTGTTTGCACTGATGAGCTAAATTGGCTTCATGTAGCAATGCAAGAAAGATGAAGTGCAGTGTCTCAAGGACTATTCATATTTAATTTCTCAATGTTTGCTATTCCTATTAATGAAATATATTATTTATTCTTTCTTCCATTTTCTGTTTGATTTTATGGTTTCAAAAAATATATACACACTGTTCACAGCACATCACATTTATTTTTGAATTCTTAAACAACCACAACACACTGACATCAAAGGCCATTAGAAGGTAATAATACTATGTAAAGTTCAGCGATCAATGAATTTCACATCACAAACATTGTTCACACAAGCTTTAGACTATACACACTGTCAAAAACATTGATTAGCATTCAGGTGAAGGCAGCTATTTAATCCAAATGTGTGATTTAAAGTGGCTTCTCTGCATTTGGAACTTGAAAGATTTTAAACAAAAGGTTCTTGTTAAATGTAACACCAGCTTTCTAATGTAGTCCCCACATTTCAGCACCCTGGACTGGCTTTCCTCTCCACCTCTTTTTTTCTTTTCTTTTTGCCACAGTGGTTAAATATGTCTATGAAGAAGGAAATCTCCATGTGCTTCCTAATACTGAGTTCAATATTTTACCCAAGCCATTTGACAACAGAAAGATTCTCTCTACTCAAACTGTGCATAAAATATGCTAAAAGAAATACTGTTTTTCATTTCGGAGAACTGTTCCTAAAGAAGAAAAAAATACCCATTGACATGATATTAATTTCTATTTCTACCTTTTAGCCTGTATCAAACGTTCACATTCTCCTATAAATTCTACTTCCTTGTTAAACTCTTCATTAAAGACATATGGAACCACTTATAATATTGGTAAAAAGGTCACTGATAAAAATATTTACCTCTAGACATCACTAAGAAGAAGCAAATTGTCCACAAAAACTTAAAATATTAACTATACATAGTTATCTGCTTTAGTTTATGGAAACAATAGGTACAAAATATTAGAGCATTTTACACATAACAACTATCCCTATAACCTAGAGGAAAAAAGCAACAATTATCCTAGAAAAAGAAAATCTCAGGTGATACTCTCTCTCCCTTTCATGAAATTGAGGA